TCAACATGTTCACCAGCGTCTTCTGTCTGACGGTGCTCAGCGTGGACCGCTACGTCGCCGTGGTGCACCCTCTGCGCGCTGCCACCTACCGGAGGCCCAGCGTGGCCAAGCTCATCAACTTGGGCGTGTGGCTGGCATCCTTGCTGGTCACACTGCCCATCGCCATCTTCGCTGACACCAAGCCGGCTCGGGGCGGCCAAGCCGTGGCCTGCAACCTGCATTGGCCGCACCCGGCCTGGTCGGCGGTCTTTGTGATCTATACTTTCCTGCTGGGCTTCCTGCTGCCCGTTCTGGCCATCGGCCTGTGCTACCTGCTCATCGTGGGCAAGATGCGGGCGGTGGCACTGCGGGCAGGCTGGCAGCAGCGCAGGCGCTCAGAAAAGAAGATCACGCGGCTGGTGCTGATGGTGGTAGCCGTCTTTGTGCTCTGCTGGATGCCTTTCTACGTGGTGCAGCTGCTAAACCTGTTTGTGACCAGCCTTGATGCCACAGTCAACCATGTGTCCCTCATCCTCAGCTACGCCAACAGCTGTGCCAACCCTATCCTCTATGGCTTCCTCTCAGACAACTTCCGCCGTTCCTTCCAGCGGGTTCTCTGCCTGCGCTGCTGCCTCTTGGATGTTGCAGGTGGTGCTGAGGAAGAGCCCCTGGACTACTATGCCACTGCTGTCAAGAGTAGAGGTGGGGCAGGATGGATATGCCCCCCACTCCCCTGTCAGCAGGAGCCCTTACGACCAGAACCCAGCCGCAAGCTGGTCCCTCTCACCAGGACCACCACCTTCTGAAGAGCCCTTTCACCTTCTCCCCAGCCTGGCCACCTGTAAGGGAGTCTGTGCTACCCTGACACCCCAGCAGACTGCCTGTCCTAGATGCTCATCTAAGAGCCACCACCTGTTCCCACCACAGCCACAGCCACCTTTTCCCAGCAGTCTATGGGCCAGCCCCAAGAGCATCAAAGCTCCTTTCCTTTGTTCTGTCCTCAGGACTCTGGTTTCTAGGGAGGCACCTCCATGGGGGTAGGACTCCTCTGACCACCAGTCCATGATGTTAATTATTCCTGGATCTCTGACTAGTTTCCGAGGGGTGGGAAGCAGGGGGATGCCAGGCAGGAATGGCCATCTGCATGTGACGTGTTACAGAATCTCTGCCTTGGAGAGGGCTGTCCAGAGGGTGGAGGCAGCCTGTGCCCTTGCTCTCTGCAGACTCTGCCTGTGGTGGGGACATAGCATGTTCAAAAAGGGAAGGGAGGAAGGAAGATGCCTCCAAGCACACCAGTGGCTTCCATTCCTGGGATCTTTTCTAACTGAAATTGATGCATGACAGCCTGGGGCACCTCCAGGCCCAGTGCCTGCTTGCAGTCAGAAATGTCACTCCAGTTTTCTGGGGCTAGCAGCAGGCTTCCCGTGAATAGGAAAGGTTTGGAAAGTCATGATGTGGGATTTGTTATGAGGCACAAAACCAGGTCAGTAATAATAATAATAATAATAATAAAGCAGAAAGGATGAATCTCATCTA